ATGACGATATAATATTAAAAATAAACCTATTAACCTATTGTAATTACTAACTACTAATTATGGATCTACAATTAAAAGCGTATTAAAACTTATGAAAATGCTTTGAAAGTTTTTTTGCTATTATAAATATTATTGAGTTGGTTGTTGATTTTTTTATATTTTTTTCTTTTCTTGAAGCTAGTATTTACAATAGTTTAGCTTTCTTATGATCTTTTATTATGCTTCATAATATTTAATAGTGCTCCATGTTGCGTTGTATTTTTATACTTTTATGCTACAATACTTCATATTTTGTTAACCTTTAATCAAAGCTCATTTTCTCTTATAACTATTTATTTTTGTCGTAACAATTAAAAAAAACATAACTCATGTAGAGATATTGTTATAATCAACTTCTCTACTTATAAAAAAATCCAAATGTTGGTATAACAAGAGTGAGGACAAAACAGGGGATCACATGACTTGTGTGCGGATATGCATGTGTCGTTGTGGGTGTTTTTTGTTCATATTGTCTATTGCATACAGTGATATGCGGCTGGTCTCTCTTGGAGCTTTGTTGTAGACAATTCCCGACTTCCACACCATCTACAGGATTACTTCATTGGCAATCTGCCGCAATTTATTGGAGATTTTAACGAACTCAAGCTCAGAATTGGAGTTCTTTTCACAATATGTGTATGTCCAACTAGTAAAATAAATTATTCCATTTACTAGTGAAATAAATTAAGGATTCAATGGGCAGCTTCCCCCATGGTGGAGAACTGAGGGTGGAATGTGGTTAAACATAAGCTACTGTTTCTTGACGCGACAACAAGCGCTCACTTCAAGCTGTCGAGCTTTCTTTGCACTTGAAGCCCTACCATAAAGCTAGTGAAATAGACAAGACTTTATTAAAAGATCATGGGTAGATGTGAATTATTCCATTTACTTCTAGATGAATGCCCTAAAGCCCAAAAAGCTCCCACTCTTTGCTTGGCCCTATCCTCTCGATCATGCCAAAGGCAGAATAAAAATCCATTAGAATCATAAATTACTCATGTCTTCTAATTCATTATTAGTTAAAGAAAAAGCTTATATGACATGATGCATTTTCCCCCTGATAAATCTATTAGTAATCACTTCAGATAAGGAAACGTGGCCCATAAGAATCATTTTTCATTTTGTACAGATTTTATTTCAAGATTTTATATTGTTTGGCAAGGAAAGTATTGGCTCTCGGTCCTGTCAATTACACCACATGATGCCAAATGATTGAAAACATGACTTCCATGATTGGATCAATTTATTTTACACGTTTATTGGGTTTTTGATAAATTAGAAAAGATCAAGATTAATGCATCATCCATTATGCATTTCTAAATTGCTATTGCCAACTGTATTACTGGCGATGTCCTTCAATTTTGGTAGTTCAATTCAAATTTTTCTTCGTGTAATTGGTAAAGACATGATTAGTTCAAACTTGAAATTTGTCTTTATATTTCTAAATTTCTATTGAATTTTATTGTAGTACGTGATGGATGAGATTTTGGGACTAACAGTGTGGTGTTAGAATTCTTTCAAATGGCTATGACATTATTTATGGCTCCATCGCATTCACTTTTTGCAGGCATCCCTTTTCTGAAACAAAATATATACTAACAGTGTCCAAGTTAGGACTGCAACAATTCCAAACAAAATGCAACTATTCTTTTGCAATTATTACCCTTCTTTTCTTTTTGGCCACGAGAGATTTTTTTTTTTTTTAATTGGAATTTTTCTCTTTTCATGTCAAATTATAGAATTTGAATTAAAAGAATAGAATTAAAGTTGCAAAATGCAATAACCAAGAACTTCCAATGACTGATATTGAAAGAAATTGACGGATAGCATGGTCTTCACTCATGAGTCATAAGGATTAAGCCCCTAAGTTTAGACCAGTCTCGATCAAAAAAATAAAAATAAAAATAAAAATAATCACCAATTGTAGTATAAAATTAATCAAGCTTGGTCAACAAGGAAATAAGAACAGATCAACTCGTACAAAGAAGAACGTACGGTCACATGGATAATTAGTCTTGTGGGGCAGATTCAGAAAGGTACGGTTGGATTAGTCAATTATATAGCCTTGTTAGTTGATGCTCGTTTCAAGAATATTTATGATAGGAATTAAGAGAGAAAGAAATCACTATAATTTGATATAGAATAACTCCTTTATATATATATATATATATATATATATATATATATATATATATATATATATATATATAAGGAGTTATTCTATATCAAATTATAGTGATTTATATATATTGATATAGAGACCAAGATGTATATAATTTATTAAAATTTAGAAGGCAAAGCACAATACTACTTAAAATTCACCATAATTTGGAATAATTATGAAGGTTCCCTTCGGATGATAAGTAGATTTATTTTTTACATTATGTTTTTTGGTTGAATTTAAATGGAATATTGCGGAAAGAGATTTCTCATTGTTTTGATGTAAATTGCTACGGTAAGATTTAATTTAATGCAGAGAGTTCTTATTATAAAAATTGGTGTTGAATACACTGATCGAGGATGTGATTGTAAAAGAAAAAAAATGGTTTTGAAATGAAAATTTGAACAATGATTTTGAGTATTTTTATCTAATACAAGTAAATAAAATAGATGTTCATTTAGGAATTACGACAAATTATTCAAAAAGCATAATAATTCATAAAACATAATAATTTTATGCTGATGAATCTTTTTAGCCATGATGTATGACTATAAAATATAAATATCACTGATTTTTTCCCCTTTTTATCATTTCTCTACCTTGTGGTTTTGGGATTCGAATTCTCATTTTCATTTTTGGCTGGCTGGTCTTGTAATGGGTGCTGTGAACGCGTGCCACGTCAGGTCAAAGCAGTCAAAGAGATAGAAAGGTGTAAAACACGTGGCAACGTATGTGCTTCCTTAGTGTCATTGCTGACGTGGCCCGTCGAAACCTTTTTGGCTGGCTTCATTTACTCGGCCAGCTAGTGCTAGTATAGCATAATAAATTGTCACGCTCTTCTCACCCGATCATCGAAACACGTTTCTTAGTCAGACTCTCCTCACGTGTTCGAGGGGAGGGAGAAATTTGTAAGACCAACCTTATCTCTCTCTCTTTTTTTTTTTTTTTAATCTTGAACTTTAATTTTGAAGTTTTTTATATAAAAAAAAATTATAATTTATAATTTATAAAATTAGAAGGATAACCCTTAATTATGTTTTTTTTATAAAATGTTTATAATATCCAATAAGTATTAAAATATTTATAATATATTTTTATATATATAATTTATAAATAAGTGATGAAAAAATGTGTGTAAATATCCTATTTATAATTTTTAAAAAAAACTATCCTTTTTATTATCTAATTTTGAGATTCAACAATTATGATCGTCACCCCAACGCTCTCTCCCTTTATAGACTCGGCGAGAAGAGTCAAAAGCAATTTGCATATATATATATATATATATATGGCTGATGTTAGGAAGTCACATGTCAACCAGCGCGTGGTATCAGCGCAGTCAAGAATGCAAAAGGTCAGTAAAAAGAAAGAATGTTCTTCGTAAGTGTAAGGAATGGTCGGCGAAGTTAACCGTTAACAATCTCTCACTCCGTCAATCAACGAACTTAAACCTTAGCAACGCCACTCGGCGCCGTTAAATTCCGTACAGAACCACCGTTACCCATCTCCTCTCTCTTCCTCTATATATGCCACCGAAGGTTGGCATCTTGTTCTTTGGAACTTATGTTGAAAACCAAAGCCAACCAAACCAAACTTAGAAACCCATCAAAGAAACATATAAAGAAAACAAAGTCAAATAGCAAATCTGACAAAAATCAAACACAAATTCTTTGATTCTTTTCTTGCCCAGAAAGTTAGTTTCTTTAGTCTTTTTATTGTTTCATTTGTTTGAAACAGTTTTGTCATCGAGTTTTAAACCACTTTTTCAAGATTGGAACTTTGAAGATTTTTTGGGTTTGTTTTCTTGGTAAGTTAAGCTCTCTTTTTTCTTTTTTGATCATTGATTCTATCTTATGTCTTTCATGTTTCATTTTGTATGATAAGTAAAGTGTCTTCTTTGAAACCTAGCAGTATTGTTTATTGAATGGTGGGTTATAACTAGGACTCTGTTTCTTTTAATGATCAATGATTGTTTATATAATTTGTTAGTATATAATTTTACTTGTTTCTATCTTTTTGTTCCAATAAGGAGCCAGGTAAGTTAATTACCTGTTCATTTCTTTGTTGTTTTTTTTCTTCCAGCCAATTATAGTTTCTCTTGCTTTCCTTCAGAGATATATATATATATTTTTTTTGGGTAATTAGTTCCTTGTTTTTATTACATGTTTAGATTTAGATTGATTGAGTCGATTCAGAGCACTTGTTAGAAAGCAATTTTATAGTTTCTGGTGCGTGCTTAGTAACTGAAAATTTAATATTGTGCAGTGTTTATGAATTTCTAAAGTTTGTAATTTGCAACATATTCCACTTTCCAATATGGTCTTGGCGTTGGCAAAGATAGTAGTGACATACTGATTGATTCTGCAAGAGTAAAGAGTTCAGCAAGAAAATTTAAATGTTTTTCTATCTAAGGAACATTATAGAAGTCGTTAGAAATGCCTCAGTTAGATTATGGATATAGAGAATGAAAATTTCTTTGTATTATGGCATATTTTGCTTCAATATTGATTCTGTCTGGATTTTCTTGAAGATGTTTGTCACGATCTCTCTCTGATGTTTTCTTATACCTCAATTCATAGTTTTGATTACTATGGAGTTGTCTTGTAACTGAAATAAGATTGACTTAGATGTTAATTTGTGTTCCTTTTGTTTTTCCCAGGCTGAAACATATTTGTTTTACGAAAGATAGACAGTTTTGGATTCTACGAAGAGGGTTGTAAAGCTGCCTTTAATTGTTTACAATAGAGCCTAGTCAATCTCTGTGTCTTGCTAGCTGAACAATTGATGCTAAACATATAGTATGGAATCACGCCAGTATTTTGGATGTGGTGACACTGGTGCGGGCCTATCCTACTCATCTTCTTATCCGTCTGTTCCTTCCATGCCTAATAGGTTGTTTGGCTCATTGAAATTTGATATAGGAAATTCACCAAGCTCACCCTTTTCTACTCAATTTGATTGTGATACTTACGCTACTACATTAAGTGACAGCCAGGAGCGCTACAGCTCCACAGATAATCTCTCAGGTGTTAGTCCTTCTCATAACTCTTCGCTTGAATCCAACAGTTATTTTAATAGGCCGAGCCCTTCTGTGGACTGTCGACGAGAAAGTCTACAGCTCTTTTCTGGTGGCTCTTCGTCGTTGCAAGATGCAAGTTCTAGCCAGAACATAAAACACGCGTTGCAGGAATTGGAGACTGCTCTAATGGGGCCAGATGATGATGAAGATGTTGACACACCGAATACTTCTTTGGGGGAAAGTAGCAAGCCACAGACATCAGATCAGAAACCTAGGGGCTGGAGCCAGGAGCGCCAAGGTTCTCATGCTATTCAGACTCAGACATCTTTTGTTTCAAGGCAGAGGCAGGTAGGCGAAGGTGCTCATGTTGAGAAACGCCAAAAGGCGATGGAGGACTTAACTTTGCATGGTGTTCCACCTGGGGATCTGAAGCAGCTTTTGATTGCATGTGCTAAAGCTCTTGCTGAAAACAACTTGAATGATTTCAATAAGTTGATTGAGGAGGCCAGAAGTGTGGTGTCTATCAGTGGAGAACCAATCCAGCGTCTTGGTGCGTACTTGGTAGAGGGATTGGTAGCAAGGAAGGAGTCATCAGGTGCTAATATTTATCGTGCCCTTAGGTGCAGGGAGCCTGAAGGCAAGGACTTGCTGTCTTATATGCAAATCCTGTATGAAATCTGCCCCTACCTGAAGTTTGGTTACATGGCAGCCAATGGAGCCATTGCTGAAGCATGCAAAAATGAGGACCGCATCCATATAGTAGACTTCCAAATTGCCCAGGGAACGCAGTGGATGACCCTCCTTCAAGCTCTTGCAGCCAGACCAAGTGGGGCTCCACTTGTGCGTATCACAGGTATTGATGACCCTGTTTCTAAATATGCCCGTGGTGATGGTTTAGAGGCAGTTGCAAGACGGTTGACTGCAATGTCTGAGAAATTTAATATCCCCGTAGAGTTTCATGGGGTACCAGTTTTTGCTCCAGATGTGACGAAGGAGATGCTTGATGTTAGGCCTGGAGAGGCTCTAGCTGTAAATTTCCCCTTGCAGCTCCACCATACTCCTGATGAGAGTGTTGATGTGAACAATCCAAGAGATGGCCTGCTTCGCATGATCAAATCTCTAAACCCCAAGGTGGTCACGTTGGTGGAGCAAGAATCAAATACAAACACAACCGCTTTCCTCACTAGGTTTGTAGAAACTCTAAACTATTACTTGGCAATGTTTGAGTCCATTGATGTGACACTGCCAAGGGATCAAAAGGAGCGAATCAGTGTGGAGCAGCATTGTCTAGCAAGGGATATGGTGAATGTCATTGCTTGTGAGGGGAAGGAGAGGGTGGAGCGCCACGAGCTCTTCGGCAAGTGGAAGTCTAGATTCATGATGGCAGGTTTCCAGCAATACCCGTTGAGCACCTATGTTAACTCTGTGATAAGGAGCCTGCTGAGGTGTTACTCAGAGCATTACACATTGGTGGAAAACGATGGAGCTATGCTGTTGGGATGGAAAGATAGGAATTTGGTATCTGCTTCAGCCTGGCATTGATACCGGAGGAGATGGAGATGGTAGGATATGCAGTGTAGTTATATTACGTGTACTTTTCATAGGTAGGGGAGTGGTAAAACTGTAAGGTCGGCTTTAGAAAGGGTGAGTTATATCCGTATGTCATAGTCAATGTAATTCTATTGCAGACATTAAAATTGAATAACACTCTCTTCCCATGCACAGAGCTTACACCATACCAATGCTTTTATTAAGGATGCGGTCTGCTTCCCTCTTTTTGTTAACTACTGTGGTTTATGCACCTCTCTGTTATTCGTCATGTCACTCGGTGAAATCTTCATCCAGTTTTTCTCTTTTTAACTTGATACTGTATAAATTTGCCACACTGCCATCCATTTTTTTTTCTCCTGGTAGTTCTTTGTCCATCCATCTCTATGTTGAGGTGGAATGGACATGAATCTGGGGATTTTGTTTGTATACAAGCTAGTCAATTTCAGTTTCTTAGCTACCTTCTCACTTGTTACGTGACCATTGTATCGCTAGGAAGAAATATATCATGATCACACGGTATTGGGCCTGGTGTATTTAAGGGCTTAGGGCTAACCTGTTACTTCTAATCTGTTTTGGGCTTAGCTTTCGACTAAATCCCTTATTGGACGATGCATCCGGTTTTGTACTGCTATATTGAAGCTGGCATTTTCTTTGCGTAATAGTCGCGTTAAATGAAAGGGAAACTTCACATCTTTTGTTTTTCAACTGACTTGGTGCTCTTCTTTTCTGCATGCATATGTTCTTCCATGGATTAAAGGTGTTTCAATATTTAGAAATTGATGAATGGACCTGTCATGTTAGCGATTCTCTAACCCATGCCCATTTTGTTGCCAGTTAGGAAATGGACACAAACATTACGATCTCAAACATTGCAAACAATCATATAATTAATGCCTGAAAACACTGCTGGAATCTAAGAGTATCTTCATGATAACAAGGCCCCGACCAGAATGTTATTGACTATTACACAGGCTCGTTAAGACGAGTAAGTGGTTTTTTCCCACGGCCCACCTTAATCAATACAGATCTTCATGTTTGAGCCATGTGCGTATAGCTAACCTCTGAATATCAGCTTATAAATTAATTAATAATGTATATTAGTTAGTTTTAGTTAGTTGGTTCTGTTAATCAGTTAATAGTTAGTTTAGTATTAGCCTAATATAAATGCAACTTGTAATTAGTCTTTATGTAACTAACTAAGAAGGAGTTTTACCAGATTTCCTTCTCTCTTACTTTACTAAATTTTCTTCTTTATCTATCAATCTTTCTTCTCTTCGTTCAATCATGGAAATCAATATGGTATCGAGCTTGAATCATTCTAGGGTTTGTAGTTCTATTGATTTCATTTCTCTTCTCTCCGGTTCATTGATTTCATTCTTCCTCTTCTTCAAAGTTGTTACTCTAATCTTTCAATACTTCACCATGGTCTGCTAAATCAACTTCATCTCCTAATGATATACACTCTCCATACTTTATTCACCACTCGGATGGTAATGATTCTCTTATAGTTACTTCGAGCTAACTACATAGAATTATGCTACTTGGAGTAGGTCATTTGCTCTCGCTCTTTCAATTCGCAACAAGCCGAGTTTTGTTAATAGATCTATTTCAAAATCCAAAGACGATGATATACTTATCGGTTCTTGGAATCGATGCAATAATCTAATAGTAGTTTGGTTGTTAAGATATATGTCATCTTCTACAATCGCACAATGTTCTATATGAACTCGACCTTGAAGGTTTAGAAAATTTTGAAGAAAAGATTCTCTCAAGTTGGCGAATCTAGGATATACAATTTGTAATGGTTCTTATGTTCAATTAAACAAGGTACTAGATCCGTCAATGATTATTTTACTAAACTCAATGGAGTATAAGAAGAGCTAAATAATTTTAAGCCTTTACCTCATTATAGTTGTGAAGTGAGCAATGTTGATTGTTTTCATAAATTTGTATAGATTTATGAGAAGGATTATGTGTTCGAGTTTCTCAATGGATTAAATGAGTCTTTTTCTTCTCCGAAATCTCAAGTTTTGGCTATGAAGTCATTCCTTGATTTAGCTTAAGTATATAACTCGGCTATGAGGGAAGAGTCTTAAATAATACAAATCTTGCAACAACCTTTTAGTTAATGTCCTCCTATGGCTGCCTTTTTTATAATAAAAGGAGGTTAGATATTTCTTATTCATATTGTAGAAAGATAGGTCATAACAAAGGCAAATGTTATAGGCTCATAGGTTTTCCTGCTGATTTCAAGTTTACAAGAAGCTTTTCGAGATGCACTCGCTTCGAATTTTAGTTATGGTCATAGCTATGGTAATTATTCTCATCATGTTAACAATGTTATATTAGAACAAGAAGAATCTGTTCAAGAAAAATCTAATCATAATATTGCTCAACTCGGTCATGTCACACTTTCTAGTATTGCCTTCACTCAAGAGCAAGTTTTCGTGCTCATGACTCTTTAAATGCTCAAGATTTGTAAACTTCACCTTCATAATCTTCAAACAATACCAACCCTTTTACCGTAATTCATTCACAACCAATTTCTAGACTTGTAGATAGAATTTTCATTATGTCTACTCGTTGTCATCCGCACAACATTATATTTCCATTAAATTCTTGCATCTAGATAATAGATACAAGTGCAACCGATCATATATCTTGTTCTATTCACCATTTCACTTCCTATAATCCCGTTGCCAACATGATATTTCAAATGCCAAGTGGTCATAAAGCAATTGTCACTTATATTGGTCAAATTGCTTTGTTTTCTACTTTTATCTTACATGAAGTCCTAAATGTTCCCTTTTTTTTCAGTTTAATCTCATCTCGGTTAGCAAACTTATTACCAATTCTCAATATAAGCTAATCTTCACTAACAATTCTTATATGATAAAGCAGGATAACTCTTCAAGGACAATGATTAGAACTCGTTAATCCTCATATAGGATTGTTTCTATTGAAATTGGTCCTAGTTTGTCTTCCTTCAACTATCAAACACTCATGTAATGTTAAAACAATTAGTGAAAAATTTACAAATCATTCAATTCATGATTTATGACATTATCGTCTAGGTTTGTATCATCCGATAGAATTAAGTTGATTAGTCAAAGGAATCTTGTTATTTAATGTAATAATCGGACTTGTTTTGTTTGTCCTTTAGTAAAATAGAAGCATCTCGCCATTTCCTATTCATAATAAAAACACTTCTTTTCCTTTTAAATTGGTTTATATAGACATATGGGGGCTATATTCTATTGCTTATCTTAAGGGTTTTTGCTATCACTTAACTCGTAGTTGATGATATTCCTTAACTATGGTTGATGATAACACCGAGTTACTTGGATATTTTTACTTAGACATGAATCAAATATAATGTCTATTATTTCATCTTTTTTATCAAATGGTCCTTACCTAGTTTCATTTGCTAATCAAACAAATTAGCTCGATAATGGTCTTGAGTTCTATCCGCCTATCAAACAAATTATGTAGAAACTTTTTAACAAAATGCTCGTTGTTGAAAGAAAACATCAACATTTTTTAAATGTAGCTAGATATCTCTTTTTTCAAGCTTATTTGCCTACCAAATTCTAGGAAGATATAGTTTTTACTATTGGTTACTTGATTAACAAGATTCTTTCTCCTTTGTTAAACAATTTGACTCCTTATGAACTTCGTTTCACGTACCTCCAGCTTTTTTTTATCATTTGAAAATGTTTGGATCTTTGTGTTTTATTTCTTCTCTTGTCCATAATAGGAAGAAATTTCAACTAAAAGCTCTACCTTGTGTCTTCCTTGGTTATTATCTTGGTATTATAGGATATAAAGTCTATGATGTTGTTTCTCACTAGGTTTCTATCTCTAAAGATGTTGTCTTTCATGAGATTGTTTTTTTATTCACCTTCTATTTCTCTATCTATTCCTTCAACATATGAATCGTCCTTTCTATTTTCTTCTTCCTCCATACCTAATTTATTTGATTTCACTAGCATTCAACCTTTTTATTCCGTTTTTCATAGTAGTCATCTAATTCCCCTTATTCTTATACATAATGACACGTTTCATATGGATTATTTTCCTACTTATCCTAATTCGGTTCTCCTCATGAAGATTCTCCTTTTGTTTTAATCCCATATCTTTCCCCTTTTCACTTGTCATTCCTTATCCACCTCATTTACGCAAGTTTACAAGATCCACTAAAGTTTCTTCATAATTAGACTTTTCATTATTTCTTATAATAATGTAGTTTGCTCAACTCCTTATCCTATTTATCATTTTGTCTCTTTTTCTTAACTCTCTCCTTTTCATGATGCATTTACTATTTCTTTATCTAATATTTTTGAACCAAAAACTTACTCCCAAACTTGTGAAACTTAAGTATTGAAAAGAGGTTATGCGAGGCTAAGTTATAAGTTTTAGAGGAAAATCATACTTGGTCCGTTTTGTCATTACTCGTAGGGTCACACATAGTGAGTTGAAAATAAATTTACAAGGTAAAACTCGGCTAAGGGCGGTATTGAATGGTACAAGGCTAGGCTTGTTGCCAAATGTTATAATCAAATTGAGGGATTTGATTATCAAGAGACTTTCGGTCCCAATGCTAAGCACACCATAGTTCATTTATTTCTCACTCGAGCAGGTTGTTAAAGGTTGGTTTCTCCCTTAACTTGACATTAACAATGCATTCTTGCATGGTGATCTTGATGAGACAATTTTTATGGATCTTCCTTCTAATTACAAGCTCAAAGGGGAGTATATAGGTGGATAGTAATTAGTTTGTAAAGTGCATAAGTCTTTCTATGGTTTGAAACAAACTTCTAGACAATGGAATGCCAAGTTTATCGTAGCATTGGTTGAATATGATTTTCAATAATTCAAGACAGATTATTCTTTCTTTACAATGTGTACTAATTCATATAGTTTTATTACTTTGTTAGTATATGTAGATGGCATTATTATTGCTAGTAATTCAAAATTTGATATATTAGATT